TCTGACACCTAGCCAGAGAAGACACACGGAGCAACGATTGGATGACATTTACTCCGTGTGTGTTGAGAACATCCCCAGACTGGGCAGATTGGGCTCATTAACGCGGTGGTCGACGCTGTGAAGGATCAGATTTGCAACCCCGTCGATGACCACACCTTCCAGATCTACCGAGCCTACCGAGTCAGTTCCTACTCAAACAACATGAACAATGCCTACCATATTGGTGGAAAGTGAACAGCATCCCCAGTAACCCGAGATGGACGTTTCACTGGGCATACAACAACTGAATACGAATCACCTTGCCGCGAACAAGCATGCACTGCCAAGCTTTGTGCATTTTCGTTGATTACGTGCAGTTACTCGACATGCTTATGCTTTTCGCAGCCGTTTCTCAACGTGCAGTTATGGTTTGCAGCAATACCCAACCATGTATCGCAATCCGGTTGGAGGAAAGCCACAGACTCCACAGAAGTCTCGGCATCGACAACGAACACCGCAACAAGCACGCAAAGGCCTCCCAGAGCCCGTGAACACACCATCAAGATCGCGCTCACCTATGCAGCAACGGCCCCAAGCTTCGCAACCACCTCAACTACACCGTCAAGTGATGCGCATTGCCACTCAAGTTTTCGAGATGGCCGCCGATGGCAACCCCACTCATGGCGTGGACTCAAAGAACAAAGTCCCAGCTCCGACAACACTACCGGGCCCACCGCCGTTACAGCAGCTGGAAGACGAAGAAGATTAAGATGATCATGATGAAGCATCTGAGCTCGACAACACAAGCTCCATGCAGCAGGACATTGCTCAGACGGTCACCAAAGTTGAGAATTTGCTGCATCAAATCAACAACTTGCTTGTCACACAGCATCAGTTGGTAGTCTCTATGATTGTCAGGCGTAAGCAACAACTTGATGTTATGGAAGTTTTGTTGCGGCAGAATGCCACGGACTGGTCCTAGTTGACCAAATATGTCAGGATGGGACGGCTCGCGCACAGTAAGATTGGAAAACCAGCGGCGCTCTCATTGAAGTCACACACACACTAGTTGCATAGAAGCCACATCACGTACCTTGAGCTCCCTTGGCCCAAACACCAGCGCCATTGCCCTAAGCTGCAGAACGACGTGATCTTCTTGCCAATGAGCTTCTGCAGATTTTGCAGACAGAACGCAAGCAGCCTGCACGATCGGAATCTGAATCAGGCTCTTCCCTACTCCATACTGAGCGACCAGGCGTTCAAACTTCAGCTTGCAGTGCATATTTCATCAAGCTGACCACGCAGGAGCTTACATCATTGAAGCAGAAAGTCGAAGACATGGAGAATAAACTCCGTGCCACTACGGAGCACGTAGGGCAGTATAAGACATCTTGTGATGCCCAACAGACACTCTGCGATGCTTGAAAACACTGCACTTGCAGGTAGTGGTGCGATCCAACGTTACACCAGTGATTGCATAAATGTCATACAACAGTACTCTGTTGATCTCACCCGCAGCCATCTTTTTGCAGTACACCCCGCCAACATGCCAGCCAGAAGTCGCAGCCCGGCCCCCCATGGCTGGAAATGGACCTGGAAAACCGACAACAGCGGCACTTGGTGGTGGGAATGGTTCGAAGTATCCCGCCGATGGATCCAGGACAAGGCACGACAAGATGATTGCCATAAAGATCTCTGTCGCGATCAATCGGACCCACCAGCAACATCACTCAAACGAACAAGATCTCCATGAGCGATGAGATGGCACCCAACAGGGGACATGCATAATTCAATTTGCTTTTTACTGAATTAGGTAATTGGTCACTTCTCTGAGTGAATCACAGCGCTACACCGCTGATGTGGACAGCTATCGACAGCGCTCAAGTAAGCAAAGCATTGATCTTTTCACCACAGTTGACTACTTGGACGCGCATGAACTCAGCATTTCCCGCAGCCATTTTCACCCAGTATTTCGCAACGGGTTGGGCTCCGCGAACATCACAATTCCACCAGAATAGAAAGAAGAATCCTCTCCGACTCGGTCCTGGCACTCAGCTCTTGGCCCTCCGACATCGACCGGGTCAGCATCAAGAAAAAGTCGTCGAGACAAATCCAAGAAAGCACACACGAAGCGGAGCTCCAAGACAACAAGAGCCTCGAAGAAGTCGAAGAAGCACAATTACAATCACGCACCAAGAAGACCAAGAAGAAGAAGAAGAATAAATCCGCCACCATCCCATCACCCAGGTCATCATCGTCATTTGAAGATGCTTACATCTTTGCCGCGTCGATCCAGAGTGAAAACATTAGAGCACGACCCCAAACTCGCACAACAGCATGTGCAAAGATGCTTGTAAGAGCAGGTTGGTGCTGTTCGTGCCATTTCATATTCGTTTCACAATGCCCTACCAAACTTTTTGCACCGTGAGGACATCAAGCAAAGTGCCCCAACAAGGGGCTGTGTGTCTGTGAACTTCGCACATGGGCGCTGGCTGTGAGCATCAAGTTGCATTTCTGCTAACATGTTGTGCCAGCAATTTGATTTTTTGCAGTTTCATTTCAACCTGATATGCACAGCAGGGGGACCATCCAGTTGTTTTGAGCGATGGTCCAACGAAGCGGCCATAGCAATGAAAACAAAACCCCCCACAGTGATGTGGGGAATAGTGCAAAATAAGATATCTTATTATATACTATATGTAAAAAAAATTGTTATATATATGTATGAACATGTAAATATACATATACATATACATACGTGCATACATACATACATGCACGCATACATCCATTCACATCTCTGTATTTTTGTTCTCTGACTGCGGGCTTGGTAAGTTTAGTGTGTTGCTTCGTGTACCGCAAGCAGGTGTGTTCATGCTGCAAAGAAATCAAAAGGCAGTGGAAGGGATCGGTGCAAAACGGAGAGAAGGACTGGCGGTAGAATGACAGGTCTAGTGACCGAGGAAGTATAAAGTGGCATGCGGAAAGATACTTAAGAGCGGTATTAGGGTTCTTGGAAGCGATTATCACACATGTACATAGAATTCCCTTCATGGCAACAACTGCACCCTATGACACCAGTTTCCTTCTTCCCTTGCCCCTTGCTGCAACACTCCGCGTAGCTGAGCCTTCAGTCTGCCTTCTTGGTGGATCGGTTTCTGCCCCCCTCCTCCCCGCTGCTGTTCTCTTCTTTCTTTGCCTTTTGTCCACATGCATGCTTCCTCCCTTCGTTTCTACTCCCCTCTTTTTGAGCCTTGACTGCCTCTCCTTGTGCGGCAACAACTTTGATGTACTTACAACAGCAGGAAATCTTCCAAGTTCGCGCACCGGTGAGCTTTCTCGCAACAGCCCACTTGGATTAAGCAAAACCATGGGCGCCCAGGCCAAGTCGAACGACTTTTCCCCAAATTGCATCTTGGTTCCAGCTGAAGGGATCTGGCTAATTACTTTCATTGTCGCATTGGAGACGTGCCGTTGTGCTCCTTTGGTATTCATGTCCGTGCGCTGGCTAGTTGTGCATGGTGAGGAAAGTAAACATTGTTGTTGGCGAGCCAAAATCCGAGAATGACGGCTCCCTGGTTTCGTGCTCAGAATCTCGTCAGAACGGAGTGCATGTGCAAACAGTCAGTCTCCAAAACTTGTGGAGCAATGCTCCCTGGCACTTTGAAAGGTGCCGAATGGCAAGACGCTCGAGGCAAACGGCTTTCGAGCGGAGCCGGGCTCATTGCCACAATGATGTAGTAGGACCGCATTTTCGCAAGCGCTGCCTGATTCTCGGTTGGTCACGCAAGTTGCCCTGCGTAGACGTACACAATCGTATGTACAAAGACCGGCCTGCCTGCGTGTTTACCCCCCCGCCCCCAGCTGACACGTATACTGCCAGCGGAAGTTTGGCCGTGGTTCTGGCGATGCACATAGAGCCTGCCTGGGCCGTTTGCAGCTGGACCTTTAGACCCACCCCGATCGCAGATCTTCTGAAGGCACTAGCTCGGCACAGTCTCAAGACCAGGTCCAGATGCAGAGAGTCCTTCGAGCTTGAGCTAAGCTCTGCGACCCACATGTTGTTGAGGGTCGCGGGGCATCCATTTTCAAGAACGAAGTCCCTGCAGGATGAGGGGATCACGACCATTCTTGTACTGTTGCCTGTTGTTGTGCATGGACACATTGAAGAACTGGACAAGCTGTTTTTGGTGTCACCTCAATCACCAGTTTCCCTGGGTTTTTTGCTTGCGCATGGAATCCAACTTAATGCAACAGTGCAAGTTCCCGAGGCTTTCACTTCTTGAGCCAGTCCTGGCATTCCCAAAGCTGAGAGATGCTATCATTCATCCGTCATGCTATTATCTGGAGCTGGGGAGGCCAGGTGGCATTGCGTTTGGGTTGGATCCTAATCAGTTCCTGCATGTTTATGTCCGAACAGCCGCCACATTTTTAGTGTCTATGGTTTGGGGAGTGCTTGTAGCACTTGTTGGTGCACACCAGGTCGTTTCTAGCCTTGTGCACGAGCTTAGCAGGCTCCAAGACGCACAAATGTAGGCTTCAAAGATGCGCGCTTTGAGATGAGTCTTTGCGCTGCAATCAAGAGTTGGTGCCAGCTCTGCGTCGTCGAAAGAAGTCGGGCAGCAAGACTGCGTAGTGGGGCCAACGGGATTTCGGAGCTACGGGGCTAGCCACACGTGCCACGACCTACCATGGTGCAAACATGTGCACACAATGGGCTGCATGGTCCAGAGTCCAGGTGGCAGACCCAGCGCAGAGACAGAGATGCAGGAACCATCTTGAGTGACAGTCAACATATCATCCCTCAACATGCAACGTGTCGCAACTGTTTTTGGCTCAAAGTGCTCAGTACCCGTTCCTGCTGTGTGTGTGTGTGGCTCCATCCAAAGAGTCTCCTTGACTCATTTATGTGAAGCAAATGTTGAAGATGTGCAAACAATATCCCAGCAGATCCTTCGCCATCTCCGTGGGTGTGGCAGTTGGAGTGCTGAGAGATGCTTGCATGGTGGCTTTGAGGTGCCATGTGGAGCCTCTCTATGTATGACGTCGAGCATCCGAGCTTTGCTCTGAAGGCCTTTCACATAGAGCTCTCACGAGGGGTGCGTTTTTGTTTTGCTGCTGGGTTTCATGGCTGTAGGGTAGCGTTAAGGGCTTTGGAGGTTGTTGCATGAAGGGCCGACCTTGTGCTTTGATACACGCGCACCAAGGATCGGCATGTTTGGGAGTTTGAGCTTGATAGCCCAGGTTTCAGGGTGAGCCCAATCTTTCACAGAACCGATCTTGTTCCACCGAGCCCCATGTCGCCAGGCAGCTGTAGCTGCGAATGTGCTGGCACCACCTTCCCTGACATTAGAACAAGTACGGGAGCTGCAGGAGCGGGCTGCAGGTTCGTGCGAGTTCGGGAGCCTTGCCGATTTTCACAGGAGGCCGAGATTGTGGAGTACTCCAAGCCAGACTTCCAGACGCTCATTCGGTTAGCAGGTGCTTTGGCTTGCGGCACCCTGGAGTGCTTTGCATTGAAGGAACGAGCTGTGCACTGCTCTCGAAACGACCCCGGAGAAGAGAGCTCATGTGCGGCAACAGCTCTGTGCCCTGGCTTAGCTCAATCATGTGCCGACGCGAGTAATGTTTTTGCTGCCGGCGCATGTGCCCCACATAATTCCTGTCTGTCAACCAAGGTCTCCAGGTGCAGGCACGTCACCGGAAGTATTCACATGTAGAACGATTGCCCACTCCTAGGCCGGCGATGTTTTCTGTTTTCAGGTGCCGATTGTGGGCAGACTCGGCTTTGAGCCCACTGCCCTTGGAGTTTCCCAAGCCACACTTGCCATCCTGCAGTACCATGGAGAAGCTCAGGCCGTTTCTGGAATGAGTTTCATTGCCATGAAGTCAGTGCTCCTGTAAGATGCGTTAGTCGGAAGCCTGCAGCTCGTTGCACGGGTTAGGGGAGAGAGTTCCACATGCATGGCTCGAGTCTTAGACAATCAAGTAGATGGCGCGGCCGGCATCGTGGATCATTCGAGGACTTTCGACTGCAAGGAGTTTAGTGTTTGGTGGTTGCTTTGTTGACTCGTCATATCTTCAACTCTAGCTTGCGTCGTGCTTGCTGTTGGTGGGCAGCTCTGTGGGGGGCAGAGGGAGCAGGTGTTCAATTCAAGGGCGGGGTATCGCAACATTCATGTGGGGAAGCAGCTGAGGCGGTGTGTGCCAGCCGGGACATGGCAGTAGCTGCCGTTCTGCGCCTCGTTGTTTTCAAACCTTCGCTGTGCGGGCTCTTGACAAAGTGAACACCTGCACCAGCTTGCATGATTGACATGTCTCACTTTCGTCTCGTTGCAAGGGCCCGGCGGTCAGCCTCCAAAAACGAGCTTCAAGCATCTGTCTCAGCTATTGGTGTGATGAAAAGTTGCAGGTCTAAGCCACTAGGCTGTTCCAAGGATCCCTACAACCACTTGGTGTCCTCGTGGCTCGGCGGCGGTTCAGAACTCTGCTTCCTGGCTCCCGGCGTGTCCCGAGCGGCAGGAAGAACAGCAGCCGCAGTCTGAGCAAAAGCCCGAAGAGCAGCCGCAGTGGGGAGGCCGCCCCCCCGGGCCCCCGTGGATCCTGCGGTGCGGTTGGAGCATAGCCGTGTCTTTCGTCTCATTGAGCCTGGCTTTCTTTGCGTGCGTCAGGGCCCGGCCTTGTTCGGTGCCGAAGAGGTGAAATCCCAGGTGCATCTGTGGGTCAAGAGTGCACGTCAGGGGCATGGCGAGTGCCAGGCTGTCTCGACCGTGTCGAAGCGTGAAGTCGACCAGGACGAGTTTCAGGAAATTCTGGAGGAGCAAGGACTTCAAGGGCAATCCAGGGCAAAAGCGCCGCTACGCTACAGGTCAAGATGTCCAACGTAGTTGTTGATAAGTCTATTAGCTTCCATGCAGGACTTGCCGATTTCAAGGAGGAGGAGCCAATCAAACCAAAGATAGTGGAGAGGACTGATGCTTGGCGGTAACGAACTTGGACTCTTGCGGGCGAAGCTACCCGAGAAGGGGCATGTCTCGCCGACTTAGGAGTTCGAATCTGCAGTTGGCATATTGATTGCGCTCAACTCCCTGGTCATGGGCCTGGAAGCCGACGCAACCGAAAAGAGAGCTGTTGGATGGATCATTGTGGAGAACTTCTTCTGCCTCCTCTGGATAACAGAAATGCTGCTGAAGCTCTGGGCTTTCCACTTGGCTTACTTCAGAAGTGGCTGGAACGTGCTCGAGCTAGAATAGAGTCTTCTGCATGGAGCTGCGGTTTGTCGTAGCTCCGTGTCAGGTGTTCGACTTCAGCCTTGTCCTGCTTAACATCTTCGAGACTTGGATCATTCCTTCACTTGCAATCGAAGATCTGGATGCCATTGGGGTTCTTCGCATAGCTCCTTGGGAGAATTTTGGGTCCGTTCTCTCGCATTGCTGTTGCAGTTGCAGTTTCGATTTTTCTGCCTGTGCCATGCGCACGACACAGGTTCGAGTTCTTCGAATACTGCGGCTGTTGAGACTGATTCGCTTAATGCAGCTGGCACCGCAAGACATCGAGAGGGTTGCGAGGGGTGCTAGCCGCTAGGCACGACACAAGGATTTCACAGCATGTGCTCTCGAGGAAGCTTTTCAAGAACCTCTGGCTCATCATCGTTGGGTTCAGGGAGTCCTTGAGCACGCTCTTTTGGGCCGCTGGCACGAAGTGGCAGAAGAAAAGGGAAGTGACATTTTTCTGGTAGATTTGTCGGAAGTCAGGTGCTGATGCTCCTGTCTGTGGTTGTCTACGTGCTTCTCGGCTTGGAGTAGCGGTTTAGACCTTCCTAAAGGGAGAGCTGGTAAACGAGAGAGCTTCCAAAGCACTTGTTATGAGTTCAAAAGCGTACCTGTGATACTATGCAGCTTCTGCTTCACTGAGCAATGTAGTGCTCGTGCAGCAGTGGACTGAGACCTGGATCGAGGTTTGCAATTTTTTTGCGCCTTACGTTAAGCTGTTCTGAGCAGCATCCACGCTGGCTGGACTCTTGGTCGCCTTGGTGGCGATGTTGACGGAGTCTGTGTGGCTTCTGAGCGTGAATGTCGTTGGGATTACCAGCCTCTAGCCTCTGTGAGCCAGGAGTGTGATGACTACTTCGGAAGTATGCCCAAAGCGATGCCTGTCTTGCAAAATCCGAGAGCTTTGGCATCTTGCAGCAATCCGGTTCTCGACCCGCCGTTTTTCAGCCCGTGACGTGCCTATTGTTTTCCAGAAATCAGCAGAGAACACTGCGATACATCGGCGATCCATTTATCAGCTTTCAGATTTCAGCCAGGTTGTGGTGTGTGTGTGTGTGTGCGCGTGGGTGTGTGTTTCTGTGTGGTGTGTGTGTGTGTGTGCAAACCCTGTTCCAAAGGGACTTCTCCGCGAGCTTTCAGGCAGCCGACTACAGTTCGATTTCCAAGCGGCTACAACTCACAAAGTGCGGGAGGGCAAGAGTACTGGCACCAACGGACACCGCTCCTGTCCTCCCGATGGGCTTATGGGCGCACAAGCCTGTACCTTCAATTAGCGCTTGTGACATCGTGATTGGCCAGCGACTCAATTACGACTGGCATTTCGAACTCTACATCGCAACAACTCCGTTCGGCAATGTGCTCTACCGGTGAAATCCGTTGTCCACTGGCCCAACATGCGAACCAGCTGTTGTTACTGCTTCAGCCTCGGACTACATGCGGCACTGCTTTTGCGGGGATACATGTTATTCCTGGTCCGGGCGATGGACCCTCAACGACTGTGGCCATGATCGGTCTCGAGAGACAAAACTCCCGGAAGGCTTCGAAACACAAACATGGTGGATGCTACCGAATTCAAGTTTTCTTCCCATCCTCCCGAACCCCAGGTGTCATCGATTACCGATCATCGATTTTCGTTTGCTTTCAGTCTTCGAGAACCGGCCGGGAAACGGTCGGGCCTCTAGATCTGTACGAGAAGCGAGATACCTCGATTAGGACGTCGAATGAAGTCCCGAAATCGCAGACCACGCCACCGATATCCACCGATGTGCAAGCAGTTGGAAAAATAATGTGCATCACGGATATATGTCGAACATGTGAATGCTTCTGTTGTCAGCAGATACACAGTGCAAGTGGGTGCCAGTGCACGCGTCGCAGTCTTGGCGACTGATGTTGACTGCAGCTCGAAAGGTGGTTAGATTGGGGGAAACGATGCTTAACGTCGGTAACCGTGCTGCCGCAGTCGGAAGGTGAGTCCACAAAGATATTGCTAACGACCCCTCATTTGCGCAAAAACATCATTATCTAAGGATGTATACATTGTTTCAGATCATTACGAGCCTCGGCATGTAGGAAGCACGGGTCTGGAGGATGCATGCCCCTTCATCGGAGGGCGCAAAGACGTGTAGCCTCCCTTGCGCGGGGAACCTGAGGCTCGAGTCCTGGAGTCAGGCTGGCACTGTGCGTTTGCTGTTCTTACATGTTTTGCATATGTTAGCCTCGGATATTGAATGCAAGATGCCAGGAGTTTGCCCGGCCGATCGTGAAACAACAGCCAATTTTCTTCGTGTTCTTTATGCAGCTTGTCTGCGCCTGGGGCGGACGGACAGACTGTGGTCTTGCGGCGGGAGCTGCCTGAAAGACCCTGGTGAAAACGTTGCGGCATGATATCCGAACGTCGGTCGCCTCCTTGCATGGGCTGATATGCTCAATCGTGACGGTCTGATACGTGCAATTGCCCTCGCAATAGATTTCGGTTTGACTCTAACAAGTCCAGTGCAGCTGGTCCAGTGCTGCAAAGGTTTTTTCTGTTTCTGACCACCTTCGGGATTTTGAACATCATTGTCGGCGTTATCGTGGAAAACACCCTGAATGCAGCGAAGCAGAATATGGAGCTACAGGCCGGCTGTGACGATCACCGAACGATGAGGTCTTGCACACCCAGTGACAGTGTCCTGACAGGAACGGCGGCTTCAGCGGCAGCTTCGGCAGGTGCGAGCCAACGCCTACCAACCAATGCATATCCCGCATCAAGACGAAGACCCGCACCAAAAGCAACCCAGAAAAGGTAGCAGTTTGTGCAACTGCAAGCCATAATGATAAAAAGCCTTTACCCACAACAATCAACAATCAGTTTAGTGTCAGTAAGGCTATGCATTGTGTTCGTGTCAATGTTGGCCTATAAATGGCTCGAGTCAGCACGCTTAGTTCTGTCTTTCGTCTGGCTACTGTTACTGTTTGGTCCTTGGCGTACTTTCCTGGTTCCCAGTCAGGGTTGGTGAGATCTGCAACTCTGGTGTTGGTGACACTGGTATACTTGGCTAGGAACTAGTTAGTTCCGGTCCTGTTGGTCTTGCTGTGCAGGCTAGCTGTTAACTCAAGATGCACCCAAATTTACATTTGCATGTCTTCATCGAATTTGCTAGCCGTGTTGCGTCTCGAGTTGTTCAATCAAGAATCAGAGCCAATACTGAAGATGTGGGGGGTGCCGGAGCTTGGACAGACCGTGCACAAGCATAAGCACCGTTGCTGGCAGAGAGCTTTCAGCATGGTTGGTGAGGGCAACATCTGCCGACATGTTGTGAATGCTTGTTTTGGATGCAGCACATATTGTGTTTAAGTGAACAAGTACACGGTACATGGCAGGACAATCCTTCCCACACTGTTTGATGTCCCCATCACTGCTTGAAGGTCTAAGAGCTTCAGAACCCTGTGACAGGTTTCTACCCTGAAACGACAGGCTTACGAACCCAGGAGCATTGCCAGTTCGCCAAAAGGATACAAATAAACTGCCGAGAAGTGCATCCTACAGAAATAATGTTTCTTCGTCGAAGCACTAGCTCGACTCCACCTGGTCTATGGCATTTCGCTGTTTCGGCGTTGACACCAGCAATTTGCAATGCCTGCGACGGTCTGCACCGGGATGACGGGGCACGACGGGCGAAGGTTGTTCTCGGTGGAATGCTCTGGCCACAGTCCCGGCTTGATTTTGGCCTTCAAGCGCTCGAGGTTACTAAAGTCCTAGCATGGCTACGCTTCTTAAGTCGAAATCGTGCTCCCACCACAGTGCCGCATGCACATCTTGGCTGTCGCGTTTCGGCCTCCACAAGTCGTGCTCCCGCCACAGCCGCGGCTTTTTTGAGTGTCCGTCGTCTTCCACTGCGCCGAGCATTTTTTGGAGTGCCGGTCGTGCTGTTGCACTCCTGCAAAGGAGGATAGCCCAGCCAGCCGGAGCGCAAGATTTTTGCAGGGCACCAGAGCATGCATTTTCTCAAGTTTGTTGCGACAGTCGTGCGATTTTCCGCGGTGTCTACAGTGAGTCTACAGCAGTCGGCTTTTAAGTTTAGCATTCGGATAATGAGCTTTCGAGCGCTGTGCCAATTTGCCTAGTGTTAAGTGTTCATGTTGCTTTCGTCAGTCGAGCGCTCTGGAGCGTGCACGCGTTTCGGTCTTGGCACGCTGCAGAGCATTTTGGAAGCTGTGGTCGTCGATTTTTCTCCAAACCAAAATCTCGAACGGCCCGAAATCCACTGCCGAACCCTATGTAACTTAGCCCACCCCCGTGTCATGAACACTGGTACCAAGGACAGACACCCATCACAACTTCCATACATAGCACGAAACCCTCGGCGATCCTCGGCGCTGGGAAACAGTCCCTGGGATTTTGCCTACAAAATGCTGGCTAGAGGTGTAAACGCTAAAGCGAGTGGCCACCACGGAGGGGAGTGCGCCCACAGCCGTGAACCTCAAAAGGAGTGCCGATCGGACACTCGAACACACCCGTCGCATGCACACGGGGCACGGCTCATGCACACGGGGCACGGCTTCGTTCAATTTCCGCATATCTACACTGACGGAAGAGTCTTAGTAAGCAATCGACCGTGAACGAGTCAGTGAAGAAGTTGGTATATGATTAGGTTTCATGACAGTCACGGTCGTATTTTCATGTTGTGGATGCTACAGTTGTTCTTACACGCAGACTCGTTGCACTCTAGCATATCCACACATTGCACGCAAAGGTCCGGACGGATACAGTAGAATATACTTGCTTTTGTTGAGCTGGCTTGCCCACTTGCCGAATTTCGTGACGGGATGATTCCAGGAGTTGGAGAGCATCCGCATACTTTTCGAAGATGCTGACTGCGAGACTTGACTTAGACCTAATTGAAAATCTCGTGAGCCGATGCATTGTTCTGGTATGCGGTGCCCACGCATGCCTAAAGGGTTGATGGTGTCTGAGGATGGCAGTGGCACTCTAGAGGAGCATGAGTTTGTCCAGATCCTGGCAGATGAAGCCGTCAAGAACACCCTTACGAGCAACTCGGATGCGCTTGATCGTGCCGTGCCACAAGTCCGTCTGTTTCAGGTCTTGTGTGCCATGTGCATGCTGATCTTTGCTGGCAGGAATGGAGGTGCCCGTCGACGATCCTACTACCTTGTTCGAGATCTTGGATCCGCAGGCTGGGTCGCACCAGAGCCTCGTGCACGATGCTTCCTTTGGAGTTGCACTCCTAAAACTTGCCTCTCGATCCTGCGAATGAGAACACAAGGGTGTGAGTTGTCCTCGCCTACCGAGTCAAAGCTTAAACGGAATTAACCAATTAACCTGCTTGACAATGTCAATCCGTGTCTCACCAAGGGCGGCTTTGAACATCGCCAGCACAAACGCTATGTAAGGCTAAAGTTGACATATGGGCCAACATCCCTCACCCTTCGTGTGAGCGATGCTGATAGTTTCATGCTGATGCATTGCTGCAACGAGCTATGCAGTCAGTGTAGGCTGGTGAGAGCGTTCCTGTCCATTGAGCTTTCAGCACTCCAGCTGTTTTCGGTGGCGGCGACGGGGTGTCTGCGCTCCATGCAACCGCACTCAGACGTCAAGAGCACTCGTCATCTGATGCTTTTGACTTCCATCTCTCAGTACATACCTCATCTTAACCGCCGAGAGCAGATGTTTCGTTTCGTGCCGACCTGAGCTTTGCCGCACGCGCGACGCGGGGCAGGGAAGTGGCTCCATCAGCTTCCCAATCTTCGCCCAAGGCAGCTGAACTGCACTGCAGAGTTGCGAACACGGAACATGCCAGACTGGACATTCTTTTCTTCAGCCACTAAAACTATTGGTTCCAGTCTTATCAGGCGTACTGAGAGTCAAGGGGCCTCCGACCCAGCTGGTCTGGAACTTGGACGTCCAACAAGACTCCTGTTGATGGTTCCTCAATAGCATCACATCTGGCAGAGGATATGAAGACCATGCAAGTCGGCGCGAGAGCCCCAGACTGTCCGACGTTGTGAGCTTCTCCATTCTCTGCACCATGTTTTTTGTCTGTTTCTCTCTGTCTGTTAGTGTGTGTGTGTGTGTGCCTGAGACAGAGGTTGCTGGAATCTCGAGACGCGTTTCAAAAGTGGAGAAGCCTATCTGCAAAGCGATGCCTTACCGGTCTTGCACGCAACCTGCTATTTCAGCCGAGGCATGCGATTGAGGATCACAGAAAGTTGATTCAGCAGAGCGTGCAGATGCCTCCTGCCCGATCATCCCTTTCTACATGCTAGGGCCTGCTAGGGCAACAATGTAGCCATGTCAATGCACCAAGGCTGGGGCAAGTGCTCGAAGCTCTTGGCCACAAGGGCCACGTTGTTCCAAAAAAGGGGCATCAGTATCTGAATGAGGAAGGTCTCAGCGCAGGCGGCGCAGGCAGCCGACTGTGCAGCCGAGATGCAAGTGGAGATCCTGACAGATCTGACCAGGACCCAGGGGTGGGACCGAGTGGAGCTCGCGCTGGGAGCCTGTGAGTGCCGGCCTGTGGTCGCAGGATGCAATGGAGGTTGAGAGCATCGGCGATGCGAATGGGAGTCCGAAGATGAATAAGCAGGTGTCCAACGACAGCTTGGAGCTGTTGGAGGCTAAGGCTCGTGGACTTGCTCCTGGGCTTTGTCAACCATCATGTCCGAGGTTGCGAGAAACCGCCAGCAGCTTCGAGCCTCCGGCACTCGGGGTCCCTGTGCCTCAGTTGGTGCCGAAGGCAGGACATGGCAGGTTGAAATGCGGAACTTGGGCCCAACTGCACGCATTCTTCCAAGAGTTCCGGCGTCTGTAGGGCACACTCAGCTTTGCCGTTGCCGTTGAAGACTTGGAGCAGAGAAGACATTCTTGGAAGGCAGGAGCTCATCTTCCTGGGCAGCTGGGTGAGTAGCGACCGTGAAGTGGCGTTCTGTTGCCGTGTGCTACAGCAGGCTGCACCCGCAGTACCTACTGGTATCCGAATCATGTGGGGGTGTGTTCCATCGCTACATCAGTTAATGTACAATGTACACACGTCGAAGACAAGCTCTCCCAAGGAGACAAGTGCTTGTGATTTCTTCTGTACAGGCCGGCCAGTGCAGCTGGCATCAAGTCATCGAGTCTGCATTGCTTGCTCTCTTAAGCGGATCCATAGCCGCGGCTATCGCTGTTCATAAGTGGATGCGGCCGTAGATTGGTCACTGTGCCGGATCTGAATGAATGGGCTATTGTAGGAAAGGTCCAGGATTTGTGCGTTTTGCGAACCCGGCCAGTGCCTTCGTATCACTCGTCAAGAGCAGTTTTCGTTCGAGGATTCCAGGGCTTGTGCCCAACTAGCTGAATGGACCTGCAAATGGTTTGCAATCACGACTGAATTCGACGAAGTGCAAGCTGCCAAGTGCGCGCCGCCGAAGAAATTTACAAGGGCGAAGCATGCGAAGTGAGGAGCTCCGTCCATGTCTTTCGACACCCAAGACTTCGTGATGAGGTTACTGCACCCAGAAAAGCGCGGCTGAATGGTTGATATGTCTTCGCCTGGAGGTACAGCGGCGAAATTCCATCCTCCTGGACTTGTTACATCCGCCGTTTGTGCGAATTAGACAGAAGTTGCGTGGTCGGTCTAAGGAATCCTGAAGTTGGCCCATGAACAGGCCCTTCACAGCCCTAGTTCAAGCAATTTGTGATGACTTTGGCATGTCGAGATCTCGAGCCTTAAGGAAGCCTTTTGCCTGAGTAGCCAGCACGCCAAGCTTGGGGTGAGCAGGATTAGTTTCGTGTGGTTCACCCATGCAGCAATGAGATTACAGCCGCTGAGTGCCTGGAGCATTTCAGCATCGTTACTTTTGAGATGCTCTTGCACTGAAACTTCGGATGAACTCTGTTTCTCTCACGATTCAGTCTTGAAGATGGGTCCAGTTTCATCCGAAGAGGAGCAGTGCTGTTCCGTTCAGATCTTTCGCGCGTTGCCGAGGCATAGGTCTGAGACAGAAACTCAGGCAAGCTCGGCTGCTTCCGCGGTGTTACACTTTCCCATGCTCAGCCGCACTGCAATGTGGTGCAAGTGCCGAACATCAACCATTGTCGGCGAGTTTGGCAGAGTCGTGAAAAGGCGTGTCGATATGATGCGAGGCTGCTGACACCGCCCCCTCGCCCCTACCCGATGGTATGGGGCAGGTGGTTTTGCTTGGGTTCTTGGTCTGGTGCGGTTCTTCCGATCCAGAAGTCCTGAAGCACTGGCTGCCACAAGAATCATCACATTGAGTCACTACATTGACACCCTTTCCCCCTCAAAAACCCTGTGGTTTGGGCCCCGCCACCGCATGAACATATGAAAAAAGACTGTAAATTATTTAGCACACTTAATTCGGGGCGAAGAATTCAATAAGCCTGATATTAAACGGGCACCCCTCCACACGGCCTCCGGATTTAACTATACATGTGAAGTGGGAGTGTAGTATTTACATTTTTTAACGTTTGTAAAATCAGGTGCGGCCGTCGGTGTTGGCCCCGTCTCCTCCTTGAATTAAACGGGGTAAGCTGTGCATATTTAAGTCCCCTCGCCAAAATGCAATGATCAACAAAAACAAATCTTGCACCCGGCCCTCCTCCCGAATTTACATAACTTGAATGGGGAGGCACCGCCCGGAGAATGATTGCTGAAATTATTCACTCCGGAAGGGACGTTCGGCGGGTGCCCCTCCCCCCGTTCTTCCGCATGCCAACTATCTAAATTACCGGCACTCATTCCTGGACTCCCCCTTAACCGAGCGGGGATTCAGCAAATTTGCATGTCAACATTTGGTGCGATCGGTCTGCGACCCTGCTGCAAATACCACAGAAAAACTGAACGGGGATTCAGCAACTTTGCGTGTCACAATTTGGTGCCATAGGGATGCGTTCCTGTCAAAGTGCTGCCAAAAGCAGAGGAAACCGAGCAGGGGTTCAGCAAGTTTGCATGTCAAAGATTGGTGCAATCGCACTGCGACCTCAAAGTGCCTTGTGCGAGTGTGCGAGTCGAACGTGCTGAAAATACCACCGGAATACCGAGCAGGGATTCAGCAACTTTGCATGTCAAAATTTCGGAAATCGGGCCGCGTCCCTGCAGCGGACGGCTGTGCCGGGCTTGGGAGACTTTCGTGGCCGGTACCTGACCACTGCGGAAGGGTTTGCTGCTCTCAGGCCTCGTAGGTTGATAGGCAGACGAACGTTATGAACTTCTCGAATTGCCAGAGGCTCTGATGGGACAGTCACGATTCATGGATATGGCAAGTGGGACAATTGCCGATTCTTACGAAAGTTGATGGCGCAGTCCGATGCTTCGTTGAGTTGTGCTTCGGTAACTTGGGCCATGCCTCCATCGCTACGCTATGGGAGTGCTGCCCTAAGTTCCTCCTCGTGTCTATAAGCGAGCGCACGCGCGGACCCAACCTGGGCAGCAGGTGGGACCATGGACGGGTTGCAGTACATGTGCTCTGCACCAGCGGGAAGGCGACGGAGTAAGCACATGAGGCATCAGACATGCTCTGTCGCTTCAGACAGTGGCCAAAGGCGATTCAATGGCCGTTTCTCCGCAGCCAGCTCTGGCTCTTGCAACTTCCAGCTGGCCCAGCTGGCCTTGATGCCTTGTAGTTCTAGATTCTAGACGACAACAAGTTGAATGCATGCAATGGAACTTGATGCCCAGCTGCAGGTTCAGACATGACGCGTTGTTTGTAAACAGATAGTGAAACGACTGGGGTCCATTGTTCGGCCAATGATGTGCCCCAACAGACCCTTCTATATGACAACTACGAGCATCAAGGTTTCGCCAGCACGTGTGCACCCTACTGTATGGGGTTCTGCAGTTCAGAGGAAAGAGAATTGGTTAGTGTGCCGTTTGGGTCGTGCGCCGGGAGGTTGCCAGGGATGACTCCCGCTATGGCGTCGTGCGCATTTTGCGCCCACGTCCTGTTAGACCCTGTAAAGCCAGAATGCCAGTTTCGAGGCCTTGGCCACCTTGATCGAAGTCTTGAATCCCGCCAGTACTTGGGAATAATTTTGGCCGTCCTCCTTAGTCATAGTCCAGTGTTGAGCCGTTCTCCTGAATCCCGCCTGTTGTCTGTGGGCTCATGCTGAGCTCCTCATGGTCTCTCGGTGCTCTCCTGGGGTCCTCCGCTCATATCGGCAAGCAAAACGGAAAATTTGAGTCTGCTGGCGTTTCGGTGGTGCGCACGCGCTCGGTGGCAGACGATCCGTGATGGGTGGGGGTTCTTTTTGGGTATTTTTTTTGTTTTTTTTTGCGGGTATTTTTTGTGGGTTTTCGGTTCAGTGGGTATGTGAGTCCATAAGTCGATCAGTCAGTCAGTCAGTCAGTCAGTCAGTCAGTCAGTCAGTCAGTCAGTCAGTCAGTCAGTCAGTCAGTCAGTCAGTCGGCGAGCCAACGGCGCAGTCAGTCAGTCAGTCAGTCAGTCAGTCAGTCAGTCAGTCATTCGGTCGTCCAAAGAGGAGCGGTCAGTCAGTCGTCAGTCAGTCTTTCGGTCGTCCACTCTTAGTCAGTCAGTCGGTCAGCCAGTCAGTCAGCAGTCAGTCAGTGAGTCAGTCAGTCAGTCCAGTCAGTCGGTCGGTGAGACAACAAGGTTGTCAGTCAGTCAGTCGGTCAGTCAGTCAGTCAGTCAGTTAGTCACGTTCGGTCGTCCAAAGAAGAGCGGTCAGTCAGTCGGTCAGCCAACCGA